GAAGGTGGCTCCCCTAGTAACCGAGAGGAGATCACTCCCCAGGGCCCAAGACAGGTTAAGAGGGGCACTGGGCAGCTACGGTGCATTGTTGTTTCTCACTTATGGAGGTTCATGGGCAGCTGGTGTCCTCCCACCTGGTATGCCTCGTCCTGCAGCTTCTGCTTCAGGTACTCCTCCATTTTCAGTTCGTTCTCCAGCTGGCGGACAGAGTCATTCTCATAGTTTTCATCATCTGCTCTGACATAGGGGTCTCCATCTTCTGTAACCCTAAAGACAATTATTAATAAATAGCCTCCTGAGATGAATGACATTCAGAGTCAATAAAACTTCCCTTTATTGTAAGCTATGAGGATAGCGAGATACTTTTAGTCCAACCACATGCTTCATTGGCTAGTGTCTTCCTGGCAGTGGAAAACACTTTTGCTACTTCTCCTCTCCAGTGGTCTGGTATTGATGAAGCAGACCAAGGGGCACACTCTGCTGAAGGCATTTTTGGGGTACAGCCCCAGAGAAATGAGTAACAAAAGTTCTCAGTGAACACGATACAAAGAGGTTGAACTAAAGATAACTGGAAAGATGCCTGTTGTCTTTGACAGGAAGGTGCAGGCTCTAAAAATAGAGTTCTGGCCTTTACTGTTTACGGAGCTCACGACTATCTAACCACGCCATTGCCCCCACTCGGATTTTGGCATTTTTTTTCTCTGGTAATCAAATAGTTGAGAGAGGGAGAGAAAATATGACAGGTTGGGCATTGTTTTGAGCAGAAAGAGAGCGGGGTGAGGTGGGGGATGGAGGGGGTACCGACATGTCGCTGCGGGTGGAGCCGGTGGCGGCAGCGCTGTGGATGTACCCTGGCTTCCGGGCGTGGATCTGCGCCAGAAAGGCCTTCTCAGAGGTGGGGGATGGAACCAGGTCATCGAAGTGAGGCCGGCCGAATTCAGAATCCACATTGCTCTCTGTCTCGCTGCCCACTTCTGCCAAGCAAAAAGTGACACGTGGTTTCACATAACCTTCACAAGAGGCCTGTTGCTCTAAGCCTGCCTCTGACTTTCCAACCTCCAACTTTAGAACGCCACCTCCTCATAGACAGTATCAGTATATTCTTCTGTGTATATCTGCAGAGCTCATAGTTTGCTTTTTGGGGTACAGAAAATAGTTTTATAGAACATAGTTTTCTTTTTGGGGACAGAACAGCGAAGCTTTTGCCAATCTCAGTTAAGAGGTGGGATATTTTATGAGAATACCACAGACTGCATTTTACATCAGGTCAAAAAGCTCTGAAGATACATTACGCTGTTTTTTTGTTGGCTTATATTTTCCTACCTCCCATTTTTCTCAAATACATGTGAAATGTCAGTGTGGTGACTACCCACCCCCACTAGCCCCACTCACCAGAATTCAGTTCTTTTACCAAAGAGGACATGGTGTTGGTGATTGAATCTGCTGCCACCAGCAAATCGTTTCTTAAGTTTCGTCTTGCACCTGAAGCAGGAGACAAAGCACACTGTCACTATTCTTCACAAGGCATATGTTTTCCTGCTGCAAGCAGT